GTATACGATAGTTTGCAACGCTATCATCGTTCTCTCTCTCGCTCGCAGACACGTTTCGTTTACGCTTTTTTCACGCGCACACACACACACACATACACACAAAGCGTGCGGCATGTGGCGCGTATATGCATATATCTAACGGGAAAATTATCCGTCCGAAGCTAATGGTGTAAAAGCGACGATTCGCCACGCCTTGTATATTTTGCACGTAAATAGAGGCGGCAGCAGCGTTGTGCTGTGCAGAAGCTCGTCTCGTATTAAAGTCGACGACGACGCGATGATGCTATCGTTTATAACTTAATTCCTGCGCGTGTGAATGTACTAAAGCGCGTATATACATTGAGCAATTCGATCGTATAGTGTACCTACTTGAAACAGCGTTGTTTACCTGCCATATATACAGAAACGAGCCGCGTGTGTGCAAAAACGCGATATTCGCCGGTACGATATTTTTCCATCGCGGCTCGTGTATACCGGTATACCGGCAGCACACTGCACATACACACACACACACACACACACACACACACACACACACGAAATTCTCGCTCAGCTCGCTCGGTAATAATAACACAAAAATATCTATCGAGAATCATTCGCGGCCGCGCCGCAAGATATACTCGTCGCGGAGGCATCTAGGCCTCGCTAGACGAACTACAAAACTTCTTAGTATACACTATACGAGAGTATCAATCGATCGGAAGGAAAAGACGCGACGAAGGCGAAAAAGTCTGTTATAATCGGAGCAGCAGCGTCGCCTCGACGTCGCTGTTGTTGTTGTTGTTGCATTGCCACATCGAATGTAGTATATCGTACATCGTTATCGCGCTCGCTGACCACGGAGAATATACGCTCGTCTCTCTCTCTCTCTCTCTCTCTCGAAGCCGTTCCTCAAAGAGCTTTTATCAACGAGGAGATGGATTAATTTTTTCGCTCCGCATATATTTCGCTGTATATTATTCTATATATCGCGTAACCGGCCACCACCACCACCACCACATACCGATATTGCGTTATCTCTCAAAGATATTAGATATTATTATTATGTACTTCAGCGCGCGTTCAAGAGTGCTGACCTATCGGCACTCGGCGTTATAATATTAATACATGTATGTACGAAATCGCTGCGGCAAACAATTTTCGAATACACAATCCGAATCGGCTCATTTCGAGAGAGCGCGATGAGATGAGATCATCGGACGCGCCGCACGTGCGCCGTGGTATTGGCTCGTATATATCGATCATATAAATATTCCGAGGAGAACGAGATTCATTCAGTTTTGCGGAGGTGCGTGATTTTATTCGTTGCGCTCGATTATGTATGGATACTCTGTAATACGCCGCTGAAGTAGTGCACAACTAGACGCACGCCGAGAGAGTATAAGAGAGCGAGTTTAATAATAATCCGCACTAACTGCTGCGCAGCCTTACTCCGTCGGTCAGGTCATCATCTCTCTTTGCCCCCTTCCTCTTATAGGCCATATAGATCCGCGCGCGAGGGGTCAAGAGTCGTGTCGCTTAGAGTCGCCTCCGTCTCCGTCGTCGTCCTTTATATAGAATAATACTTGACTTTGTGCCAAAAAATATCCCGCTGCGAGCGCGGAGACGTTCAAATATATATACGTATTTATCTTTCGGTTCAAGTGCAATGGCACTGGGTAGCGACCACGACCGATCGACCTCTAATGCATTATTATACGGACGCATTGGTTGTAATCGATTACATTATATATGGGCAAACGCAATAATACGATTTTCGTATCCGCAGTCGAGTACTATTTTTTTGTATCCGATGTACGATCAACACGCTCACGGAAGAGACGACGGAGGACTGGACTCGATCGCACGCGCATGTATGTGGTATGACGTAACGAAGCACTGAAATACCCCCTCGGTCGTTCAGCCGATTTATTCTTTTTTTCTTTGCCCCTCTTCTCTTTCTCTCTCTCTCTCTAAATCAAACCGGCTAATTTTAATCAATTCAAGCTTGCCATTATTATCATTGTGGCGCATTGCATTTTGTATTATTACCGAGCGCAACAAACAATTTAAATGCCATTGTCGACGAGAGTCAATATAAACCGATGAATGAAATCGGCAACGATCGTCGTCGATCCTTCCCGCTGATAATATTATAGTTCTCTACTGTACTACCGCCGCCAACTACTATACCGCGAATCGTTATAGCGTATAGCGTCATAATTTTTTTTTTCCTTTTTTGTATTTCCTCGCCGTCGCTCTTCCTATAACATAATAGTAATTAGAACCTGCGGTCTCTCTCGCAATCAACACGTTCGCACGCACACAGTGAGCAGCGGCTCCAACTCCGGAAGTGGAAAGCCGGACACGGGCATTACATTATAGTTTTTTTTATTTTTATTTTCTGTCCATTTACTGTATCTTTATATTTTCGAGCTCGCTCGAAACCGACGTGTTTCATGTACGTTTAACGACGTAAGTTCGCATCCACGAGAGCCGAGTAAATTAAGTTTTGCAGTCGTACGTAAAAGCATCAAGATAAAAAGACACACGCGTGGTGCGTAATACACAACCGAAAGAAGGCAAAAACTAATTTGAAAGTCAAAATTGGCGAGCCGCGAATCGGGGGCACGCACGCGGCATTTCGGCACACTTACTTACACGCGCGCACGATGAAAAGTCGTGTCGCGATGATGTAAGCACACGCAGCGCATCGGATAACGACGACGACGACGATGATAATAACAAAAATGTGTGGTTCTACCTTATCGGGCCTCAATGAGAATAGGTGCGTACGTGCGCAGCGATATACGTATTCGCACGCTTACACACAGTTTACAGTAGTTTTCGATATTTTGCACGCGGCTAGAATGAGTGCGCCAAAAATAGTCGAGCGCCGTCGTCGGTCGTCGGTCGTCCATACGCGCCTATATACAACAGTTCGAAGCCGGGCAAAAGACGAGAAAAGAAAGATAGCAAAGAAGCGTTCGAAGCCGTCGATTTATATTTATAATCATTATTATACGCGCAGTAGCGTTCGGCCGCGCGATCGGTTTATCAAGCTTTTTTTTCAACGTCGCGCGAGCCCTGCACCCGCATAAAAACGCAGCATATAAATGCTTCGCGTATATACATAACGTGTGTGTGTGTATAGCACAGTGCAACGCCTTGCCCTTCTAACCTACTAGTTCAGAGCACTGGAAGATAGAGAGCCGAGAGAGCAGCGACACTTGCTCGGGCGCGCGTCTATATCTACATGTAGAAGCGTGTATATATATGTCTCTATACGTGTACTGCGGCATAATACAAGTGGTGAACTAGATCACACATCTTCTTTATATACATTATTTGCTGCGCGCGAGCCGAGAGAGTCTTTTTATTTACGAGACTTGATAATAACACGCGGGCCGCGTGTGTACTACGCGCCGTTTTACCTCTCCCCACGGTCAGCTTCGTCTTGTGTGTTTATGTATTGTATTATAATGCTCTCTAGTCGTGCTCCGCTACGTAGCGTAGTTATTACGATGAAAAACAACTAAATATAATTGGGCCACGCCGCGCGGACTTGAAAACGGCTCGAGGAAAAATATAGCAGAGAGAGAAAAAAAATATCGACTCCGTAGAGCCGCAGCTGGAAAACTTAAAAGTCTCATCGGCTTTATTTTTTTTGCAATTCTTTTACGTAAGCACAGCAGCACACCTTGTGTGTTGGTGTGTGGGTCTCGCTAAGAGACATCCGTCCGTGCCGCGCTCACTTTGCGGAGTCATAAAGCCGGAGCGGTGCGCGGCGCGGCGCTCGATGTAAAAATTTGCTTCGACTCCGACTCTGTCTGCCTCTATCTCTCTATCTCTGTCTCAAAACTAGTGCGAGCTCGCGTATAGTAGTAAGCAGCAAATGGAACTCAGGTGCTGCTCGTGCCATTTCTGACTCTCTCGGGCGCGCGAGCCATCTCCGACCGGCTATGTTCGTACTGCTGCTACTCTCGTTACTGCTGCCTACGGACGCGCGCCGGCCGTGCTCCGCGAGGTCCATCGTCGTCCGAGACTGACTCTGTGCCCGACGACGATATGTGTGGGGATATCGAGTGTCGATCGTTATAAATAAAAAATCATTGTTTTCTTTGGGTTCTTTTTGAGTTCGAAAGTGTTGTTATCGTTTCTCATCGATCTTTTTTCTTTCTTTCGATTAGTAATCGCGCGCGCGCGCGTAATCTTTTCGATACCTAATAATGGCTATGTTACATCTGATGATCGTCGCGAACGCGTTCAACAAGGCGCTCATGAAATCGATGTCGAGCCGACTTGACCTGGTAAGTTTTTTTTTTTTCCTTTCTGCTTTCGAGTCGCCCATTTATTCGCGCCGCGTGTGCTCTCTTTGCGTATATATATAAATTTCTTGCCTTGAAAATCGCTTATAGGTAGTAGGTAAGCCTATGCACACAGCTGTAATAACTGGTCGTTGGCCGTATTCTCTTAATCGATGTTTATTGAATATATATACGTGCACCTCGAGAGCTCGTGCCAAGTTTTGCATTTTATAGTTTCTCGCAAAAATTATTCACCACTTCGTAATGTTATGGAGACCCCATCGAGGCTCTTGTTTATGTGAGTTTGGTTTTTAGGCCATAATTTAGAGTCGTAACTGGATGTCAAAATAGAATTTTGAACGATCGTTACGAGCGCGAAAGCGAATGTGTTTTGTATTCATCCGTACAAAAAATATCTACAACGATCGAGTGTCAATTGTCATTGACAAGAGTGCCCGTAATACGAGTCGAAAAAAGGCGCTAATTGCGCCACTCGTAATTATACACTTTATTATAAAAAATTGCGCCTCTCAACCACACGAGAGCACCTTCAACGATGCGCTTTACATTCCTTAGATATAACAAATGCGTAGAGTTATTAAGATAAGGAGAAGAAGAAGCGGCACTTGGCATTATCATTTACTCTCTTTTCATATTGGCACTTACGAAACGAGATACTAACCGTATTTTTCTCGCCCGTTTCTCTGTTTACAGACGGATTTACTAGACGATAAAATGGCTGATTCGAATCAACAAGAGGAGATACACGAGGTCCAGACCAATGGGGCCGTCGACGGCCTTACCGAGGAAGAGAAGGCCAAAATGAGACCCGCCGACATCGAAGCTGTAAGTGTACATCTTTTTTTTTTTGCAATTTCGACATACGATCGTGCGCTGCATTGTCATCGACGGAATTGACTCTTCTCTCGCGCGCGCGATTACGTGTATAATTACGATTCTTGTTCACCTCGCGCGCTCTCGCACGTGTTCCGCGCTGCATAGAGACGATATTATGATTTATGAGTCGAAGATGATGAAAAAAAATTGTAAAGATAAATGTCAATTTCGTACGCGAGCGTCAAGTTCGAGTGTGTACGGGAGAAGAGCTTTGAAAATTGCGTGACGCAAGTGCGCAGCTTATTCGTTCGCGGTGAAAATTGTCACCTGGAAGGGTGCCAGAAAATTTCGAGACTCATGGTATTCCAATATATCAGCGAAGAAGAGTCACTAATTTTTGCGCAAAATTTATCGAGTTTTCAAAAGCTCTCGAAGTTTTTTGCTGTATAGAACTGAAAAAAAAAAAAAAAAAAGAAATGTCGATAACACGAAATGAAAATACATCATTGTTGTTTTTTGCAGGACGTGAGAGACATGGAGAGAAGAAAGCGCGTCGAGGCGATGATGAGCTCGCGCTTGTTCAGAGAAGAGCTAGAGCGAATCATCGAGACGCAGATGAAGGACGGCTCGGCTCCGTCGGGAATTCTGCAACAGATCTCCGAGATGATGGGCATCCAAGGATCGCGCTTCAATTCCAACGGATTCAAAAGTGAGTGATTTTTCGATCCTAATTCCATACACTGGTATTGCAATAAAAAAAAGAGAGCTCGACTCGATTGACGTTTTCATTTCTCCCTCTCGATCCAGATTCGAATTGCGTGCTGCCCATCAACGACATCCGCGGCGTCGAGAGCATGGGCTACGCCAAGGGCGAGAAGAACGCGCGCTGCAAGCTCGCCGCCGTCTATCGGCTCATCGACCTCTACGGCTGGACGCAGGGCGTCAACGGCATGATAACGGCCCGCCTGAGCCAGGACAAGGAGCACTTCCTCGTGAATCCCTACGGGCTGCTCTATCACGAGATCACCGCCTCGAGCCTGATCAAGGTCGACATGCAGGGCGGAGTCGTCGAGCAGGGCACGACGAACTTCGCCATCCACATGGCCAGCTACCAGCTGCACTCGACCGTACACGCGGCCCGGCCCGACATCAAGTGCGTCGTGCACATCGCCACGCCCTCTGTGACCGCCGTGTCGTCGACCAAGGCGGGCGTGCTGCCGCTCAGCCAGGAGAGCATCGTCATCGGCGAGGTGAGCAGCCACCACTACATCGGCGGCGGCGCCAGCCTGCTGGATCCCGACGAGCGCGACAGGCTCGCGCGCAATCTCGGCCCCGTCAACAAGGTCATACTGCTGGCCAACCGGGGCGCCCTGTGCTGCGGCGAGACCATCGAGGAGGCCTTCTACAACGTCTACAACACGGTGATCGCCTGCGAGACCCAGGCCAAGCTCATGACCCTCGGCATCGACAATCTCACCCTCATACCGGAGGAGGCGCGCAAGGCCATCTTCGAGGCGTCGCGCAAGGCCCCGGTGCCGCCCCAGGGCAGCGTGTCCGAGTCGGCCGCCCTCGCCGAGAAGCTTGAAAAGCGCTGGCGCATCGGCGGCACCGAGTTCGAGGCGCTCATGCGCATGCTCGACAATGCAGTGAGTACACACGCGCACATTTATTACGTGTATTATTTAATATGACTAATCGAGGCTCGCCTCGGTCGCACTCGTCTTCTCCGTTGCGCATGAATTCAAATTAAGGTAACGGAGATTACGAACACGATGAGAATTATTTAAGAATACATTGCGTCATTGCGATCGTGATCTCACGACTTGTTGCGCTCTATTCGAGGATATTCTTATTCATTTTTTTTCTATTTTTCGCAGGGTTTTCGTACTGGTTATCTCTATAGAAATCCATTGATTAAGTCCGAGCCTCCCAGGCCGAAGAACGACGTGGAAGTACCACCAGCAGTTTCATCTCTTGGCTTTTTACTCGAAGAGGAAGAGCTTTTCAAGCAAGGGTAAGAGCCATCATCTTGAAACGTAGCCGACTTGAGTGGCGAGCATGGAAACTTGACTAAAATCTAATTTATTTCAAACAGATTATGGAAGGGTGGACGAAAAGTAGGGCAGAGAACGCGTTGGCTGAACTCACCACACTCCTACCAGAAGGTAGAAATTTTAGAAACCGGTACACCAGATCCAAAGAAGATTACCAAGGTAGAAGTCATAACTTTTGAGGATAAAAATTGAATCATTTAAAAAAATTTAACATTTTAAGTGAAATCGAATATTAATGAGATGCTTCAATGCTTAACTATGAAATTTTAAAAGTCTCTTTAACAAAAAAAAATGGAAATTTAACATCGTATTTATATTCAAATAACATTATTCGCGTTACTAAAGTATATAGATACAGAATTAATGAATGAACTCATTTCATTGCACAATGAAATCGCCAAGACCGTTTTATAGAAATTTTTCTAGCATTCCATATGCATTCCATATATTAATGTTTGTGATAATTGTCGCCATGTTTATTATATTATGATACTATACACTTTTACATACCTAAGTGTATACATTGCTTTAACTTATTGGCTTTTCGATGTTTTTTTTCGTATTGTGCAATTTGACTTTGCCACTTACTAAGGTGTGGCAATTCTTGCAATATTATATTATTTAATAATTTCTCAGCGAATCGCTGTACGCAAGTCATACATGTTTCTTTTAATGAAATATATTTAAAATTATTAATACTATTATGATTAATATTATTACTGTGTAACCTTCAGTAATAAAAAATAAAACTGATAATGCTCAAAAACAACTAAGGAACTCTCCTTGAACACCCTATGAACAATCACTTGTAGAAACTTAGCGTCCTAGATACTAGTTTTAAAGCATGAGTCTTTTTTTGTAATTTTGTGAAAACTTTTTGAATTATTTTGTGTGCCTGTTGGTCATCATGTAAGCTTTTGGGTGGCCTCGGCATCAAACATCCACTGCAACCACAAAACCAGAGTCATTACTGAGAAAACAGTAATGTACAACGGCTTTTCAATTTTCGAAGTCATTGCGAGGTAATAAAACTGTAATTCTGATAGTTACGACTCCGCAAGCTTTATTTGAGACTAGCAGGCACACATTTCGGGTTGTTTTAGAGTGTCCGAAATTATTACTTGTGATTGTTTTTCGGTGATGTTCAAAGAGACGCTGTTCCTTTGATTGAAGCAAAACATTGAATATTTTGAAAAACTAACTAATTGACCGCGGGGTCGGGCTCTAAATTAATGCTCTGGTTTTGTACGCAGTGGGTATCTGATGGCTCACCGACGCACAGTAGCACACCAGTCAAAATCGACGGCGCTCTGCAGTTTGTTCCCAAAAATACCAATCCAAAAGAATTTAAGCAGCTCCAACAACAGGTAGGCTTGAATCACACGCGCAAGTTACTTCAAAATCATTCGTGATAATTCTAAATTCAAATTTTTCATTTGTAGATCAAAGATTACCGAAGAGCAGACAAAATTTCAGCCGGTCCACAATCACACATTCTTGAAGGTGTAACGTGGGAAGAAGCAAAAAAAATGCAGGTTGGTACTCGTTAAAATGTAATATTTCTTAAAAACAATTTCACTACTTATTAGTCTCATTTTGCGAATTATTCTTATCAGGATGCAACAATTAGTGGAACCGGAGAACAAGTAGTGCTCGTTGGAGCCGCCAGTAAAGGTATTATTCAAAGAGGTTTCCAACATAATGCTATGGTTTACAAAGCACCTTATGCGAAGAATCCTTTCGATGCCGTCACTGATCAGGAACTTGACCAGTACAAAAAAGAAGTTGAGCGAAAAACTAAAGGAGATCCCTGTACGTGTAAATAATAGATAATTTTTGAACTAAAAGTTAAAATGGTTTCAAAGCTATAATTATATATTTTAATTTATAGATGACGAATCACAATCAGAATCTGAAGCTCTATCATCGTTTAATATTACTAGCACAGCTAAAAGCCCAGTCCAGTCTCCAGTTTCAGTTACGTCAGAAACAGAAGAAGAAAGTAGAGATGGTAAGAATCTCGTAAAAAACTTTTATAACGACTTAATTTCAATACTTTTAATGAATTATTTTCTTTCACAGAGCCAAAAGTATTATACATAGGAACCAAACAAGTGCCTGCACCAAGTCAACCAGAAGTTGTTCTTAGTGATGGTGAGATTTGATTTTCAAAAGTAGCATGATTTTCTTTTACAATTTTAAAAATCTTTCTACTTTTCTGATTTTCGATCAGTTTGATAACGCTTTATTTTTTTTATTTTTTTTTCTTGCAAAAATTGTTAACTTTAAAATGCATGATGCATGAATTTTAAATGCATGAACATGATACGCAGACAAAAACGTAAATACGGTGACAGCTAACCCAGTAGAACTTCAAGAGATAATAAAATCTGAACCTTCAAAAGTTCAGACTGGATCTAATATTAAATCAGGTGAGATCTAAATTTCTACTCGCGCTGACCGTTTTTGTTGACTTTTTTTTCTTCGGCATTACTTCTAATATAACCTGAGGGTTTTTAGAATACTTTGCTTTTGTATTTTTTAGTTAATCAGTTTGATAGTGGTAATTTGAATAACATTTGCTTTTTGTTGATTTTTTTTCTCCAACTCTAAATTAATCAACTTAACCCTGGTATTAATACAATTCTTTAACTTTAAAATTAATGCGGGTAAAAATAATAAAATTCTACAGTGAAAATATCGATACTCATGTAAAAACTATATTTTTAAAACTTTGAATTCGATTCGTATCACAGTGAACGCTGCTTTTATCAACGAACTACGTCGCTCCGAAATGATGAACCGTAGCAATGCAAATGGACGAGGTAAGTTCTGTAGAACTTCATTCTGCAGAACTAAAAACATTACACTTGCTTCTCACTAATATCCTCTTGTACAGGTTTATGTTTTGCATGTTCCACTGCTTTAGCTGATACTCTTGTTTATGTTCATTGTTTTTGTAGTTTATCCTATGCTATACTCGCACGTCTTACCCACATATCACCAATCTCATAGCACCTTTTTGATTTCAACTGCACTTTTAAATAATCCGAACTTTTCATCATAATAGTTTCAGCTTTTTTTGAATAAGCTTTTTTTTTCATTGAATAAGCTGAGGCTTGATTTTTATTTTATTTCAATTAATTCTTTCCTAATATCCTAGTATTAATATTTAATTTTCGAGTTCTTTCGCTATAATTTTTTTTTGATACTCTAACATTATGTAAGAATTCATAATATCATATGCATAATTCATAAGTCATTTTAAGTACGATGTCAGTCACATTTAAATTTTCTTAATTTAGTAGGATAATCATAATTCGCGATAAAATTAATTCATGCAGGATATAGGGATCTAATTAATCGTTATAGGATTGATGAAATGTAGGTGGGTCATGCGAGTGTTGCTCACTCGCGCTCTGCGCAATCTCCAATATATTTATAATGGGAAAATCAACTGTATCTCAAGGCTTTTGTAAATTCAATGTCGTAGTCTCGTAGGGGCTGAAAGAGAAGGCTCAAGTGTTTAAGTAGCATAGTAAGCACCTAAACTCTTCTTCTTCATTCCTCCCGATACAACCACATTTAATTTATAAAGGCGCTGAGCATAGTTGAGTTTCCTGATAAATAAACAACTCTTCTGAAGCATAATATACTAACGCTTTTTTGGATATCGCGTATTTCTCTTCAGGATTATCCGGAGTTTCAAGTCTCAGCAGCAGAAGCGACGTCAGTTGTACCACAGAAGATAATCGTTTGACTTCCTTGAACAGACCACAGTATCCTCCTTGTTATCTCGAAACAGCCCGAACTCGAGAGCTTCCACGTCCTGAACACTACTATAAGTTATTTAGTCCTCCACTTCAGAGAATTCATGCCGCAAGGGTTAAGTTTCTGAAAGAAGCTTTTTGTGGTATCAAGACAGAAGAAGAAGAAGCGGAAAAAAATGTTCAAGAAGGCTCGAGTACGGAAATCAAGACAGAATTGAATGACGTTGAATGCAAGTCAAACAGTAGCATGAACTTTGCTGAAAAAGTCTATATACCAGTTGAAAATGCCGTTGTTAATGAGCCAATTAGCAACGAAAGGAGCAGTACAGAGAACAGTGATTTAGAAATCACTGAAAAGATGGGTGAATCAAATTCAAATTCTTCAGACAGTTTGGAAGAAAAGACATTTGTTTCTGAGTTATTCATAGATATAAAGGACGATAATGAGAAGACTTACTGTTCTGCAATAAACATTCCACTTGATGATTACAGAAGAGAAGAATTTGCGAATGAAGTCGAGACAAAACATCCAGAAGAATCACACGATTCAGACTCATTACCAGAAACGGAAACAAATAATTCCTTGTCTCCAAATCAGCTCGACTATAGTAATCGTACAAGAAGAGTTTATTATGCCAAAGGCCGTAAATCTTCAACTGCAGAAGAATCCTTCGATTCAGAACAACAAGAGCTTCAACGTAATTCTACGTTATGCGAGAGCGATAACAATAGTAATGAAAATTATATTAGCGAATATAATGTAGAATTTCCAGGCAGTTACGTTTTATGCAAAGAATCAAAGGGTAGTGATATTGATACACAAAATGACCTTGAAACAGAAAAAGTAGATAATGAAATTATTGATAAAGATGAATATGAATATGACTACCTCTGCGAAGGCTTTTTTGATACTCAAAGTATCAAAGATTTACCAATCAATGAAGCTATCGAAGAATGCTCCTACAGTAGTAATGCACTGGCAGATAAACAAGTTGGCTCTCAAAATTCCTCAAGACATGGTTCAATTGCATCTTTGAATGATTTGGATGGATCAAAAACTGACAACAAAGAATCTGAAGTAGTTGAAATTGATTTGAAAGACGAAGTAAAAAGTAACATGGGCGAATGTGACGAACAATGCGATAATATCGATTATGCATGGGAGCCAGAATGCAATGAGATGTATGATCTCACCCATTTTAGCTTCGGAAATGAAAGTTTCTCAAACCAGAGTTTCGGTCTTCAAAGAACTGGCCCTGCATGCGAAGATCTTACTCGCATCGACGAATTGGATTCCGTTCGACGCGACAGCTTAGTAAATGTTATTATTAGTATGAATGGTAATATAACTCCAAGCAAATTTAATTTAGATCCTATTCCTCGAACCGAAAATTCAACACAGTATAATTTGAGCCCTGAAAACATGAAAGAGATTTACAGTATTACGCCACAATGTGATGATACATTAGCCACCGATTCAACTTCCTCTACTTCTGGCAGTAGTAATGACATCGATCAATGTCGCATCAAAGAAAGTTACGATCAAAAAATGCATGATGTCATTAAAGAAGAAACAACAGAAGAAGTAGCAGAAGAAATAGCGGAAGAAATAGCAGAAGATGAATCTGCGATTTTAGAGCTACTCAACCCAGTGGACGACGAACTTTTTCATAAACAAATGTCTACATCATTCGAGGAAATTCACCAAGAATTATCAACAGCAAATGTAAAGAAGGAAGCTATAAAGTTTATTAAAGAAATATTGGATGAAGTTTCCAAAATGAATCTACTCAGAGGCCATTATAAATCAAAACAAGAAATTCAAAGAGAAGTACGTGAAAGGATGGAATCTATTAAAATGGAGAGGAAAATTACTAATGATATCATTCAAAAGTCATCAATAAAAAATGAACTTCTTTCTGAAACAGCACAAGTTTATAGTACTTTTAAAGTCAATGAACCAACAGAACCGGTAGATGGTGTCTATGTAGTTCATGAACTCATTCATCATATAGTTAATAAAAATGACAATGAAGATAACATCGATAGGAGTGACAGTCATATTTGTCAAAAGGTTGCTGATAAAGAATATAAGGAAACTACAAATACTAAATTGAAAGAGCTCAGAATTGAATATGAAATAAAAGATGAAAGGAGTCTCATGTCAACTGCACCGACAACCACAGCTATAGAGTTGCCTCCCAATTCAATCAATTCATCAAACCAAACTTTAGATGTTGCTTCAGAACCTGAATACGATGACGTTTATCCTTTTGACAATGAAAAAATTATAGAATCTACAGCTCCTGATTGTGATTCCAATAACAATGATACTAAGAACAATGTTTCTAATAATAGTTCCGTCAATTCTACTGAAGAAGAAGTACATTTGCAGAGTACTAACTTGCCATTTGTATCGACGAATTATATTTTTTGTACAGAAAGTTACGATTTTGGTGATCAAGAGGCTGTAGAATCCACTGATAGTGATACTAAATCTGATGACAGCAAAGAAAAGCCAAAGGATATTGAATTTGGTTCAAATGATTTACGATACAGTTTTCGTCCTCACTATGAACCAAAAAGTGGAGATATCTATATCAATTGTAATGAAGCGTCCTTCAATGAAGCACTGAAAGAAAAAAGTTGGATTGTAAATCATCCGCATTTAATTACATCTGTAAAAAGCGATAACGATAGTGATCGCGATGAGCTTTCAGTGATAAATAAAATACATTCTACAGAAGAACTCAATATTCCTGTCATTTCGACGGAATCGCATCATTTGGACGAGCAAGAAACTTCAGGATCTATAGATAACGACATTAAATCGGACTACAGCATAGAAAAAGAAGAAGAAGATGTTGAAATTTCTCACTATCATGCTCAGTATGATGATCGCCCAAAATTGAAACGCAGGCGTGGAATAAGTGATAACATTGATTGTGATGAAACAGCCCATCCTTCTGAATCGAGTAAGAAAAGTAAATGGTCTCTGAGTAAATTGATTCAAGTTGGCTGTGTTAAAGGCGAGCGTGACGATGATTTTTACGAGAGTGCAGTGAAAGATGACGTCAAAAAACCGGATTCTCCTGACGTTACGATAAATGTTCATGCGGCTGAAACTTCGGGCTCTCCGAAAGAATGGTGTTATTCTATCAAGCAAGAGGTTACTGATGATGAAATTGAAACTGAAGATAACATTGAAAAACAAGAAGTTATTATTGAAGTTTCTCCTGAAAAACAAAAAATGGCTCAGAATAGATTGGCACTGGCTGATTGTGTAAAAAGTGGTAGCGACGGAGACCTCGAGCTTGCAACTAATGATGACGTTCAGACTATCAAAGGCCAACATAATTTTGGCAATTTGTTAGATTCTCAAAATAATCAAGTGTTTGCATCGTTGAGTTCCATTGCTTCAGCAGACTTTTGTCATAATTTTAAGGAAGAAGTGGACTCCGAATTAGTGAGAATTAGTAAGGGATCTGACTACAGTGAAGATGACGAAGAGAATGACGATAATGTTGATGACCGTCCCCAGCATAAGAAAAAAAACAAAAAAGTTACTTTTTTCATTGAAGATGAAAAGAAATCCATTTCCATTGATCAAAAAAAGAAATGGTCTCTAAGTAAATTTATTGCACCGAATTGTATAAAGGGTGAATATGACAGTGATCAATACGAAATTAAAGATAAATATGACATTCAGAATGCTGACGATGAAATAAGTATTAGCAGCACAGTTTCGTGTGCATCGACGCAATCACTGCCTTCGACAGAATATTTGTATAATAATGAGCAAGATGATGAGCAGGTAGAAGTGACGGATAATGATGGTGAACCTAATCAAAGCATAGAAAAACTAGAGAATAGTGATAATGAAGCATCTAAGGACTATTTAACTTGTTCTGCCCGTTCGGAAAAAGAAGGAAAAGTTTACGTCTTAAGATCTGATAAGCCCACTTTTAGTATAATAGAATGTGATAAGACAATGGAAAATAATAAAAATGAGAATCTACAAAGAGCAATTCTGATTGACTCTATAAAAAGTGAAAATGATACTGTTCACGACACAAATATAGTCAAGTTAGAAGATCCCAGCTTTAGTGATAGTCCTGATAATGCTTGTTATGTAAAAAAAGAAAGTGATTCTGAAGAAAGTCTAAATGAGATAGAAGAAACAGAAAGTATTCAAAATGAAGTTGAAAAATTGTGGCAACTGAACGAGGAAAAAATGGACACCTACTGCAGGGAAGCAAGGATTTGTGACGAAAGTACTTTGGAACTGGAAGAAGGAATTGCAAACTGCGAAAAGAATCTCGCCATATTGAACGAAAAAACTAAACAGCTTTACGAAGAAATGATGGCTGTGAGTGCAGAAGGTATTGATTTCGATTTTGAAATAAATGAAGATGAACTAAATCCAACAAGTGAGACTCATCATCAGTTCCAACGAGTAGATGACTTACATGAACAGCCTTTGAATTTAATCGACGCTAGGCCAGACGTTCTGACAAACGCATCGTTGTTGTCAACAATTATGGAAGATCCCGAACTCGAAAAGATTTTAACGGATTCTTCATCTTCATTCATTTTAAAGAATGCCTTTCCGAACACAGTATCAGATAATCTGTCGGCTGTTGTAGAAGACACAGATTGTATTAATGAAGTAGAAGATCCGAAAATTTCTGAACATTCTTCACGTTCGAGTACAGCATCCCCAAAATCCGAAGAGGAGCAATTTCCATGTCGCACGTACGATTTGGAAGAAATCACCGATTCCGAAATGGCTTACAGCGCCGATGTGTCGCGCAATGACGGGCGCCTTCAAAATACGGTTTGCCGGAACGATTCGACCATCTCTGAAACCCGAATGAGTGCCGTAAGTATGACGGAAAATTTCGGTGACATCTCAAGCAGTAGTTTAGACGAGGCATCGGCTGTTCCTGGTGTCCCAACAGAATCAATGATGTACTCCTACGACACGACAGAATTCATAAAACTCGAAAAGGCATGCTCCAGCGAGGAATCGAGTTTCAAATCGTCAAATCACGACGATTCTAAATAGAAATAATCATCGGATCAACTTCCTTGCCATATCGTACGACTCATTTCATTGATTACGAGATTCTAGATTTAAAAAAAAGAAAAATTAAGCATTGCTGATAATTACCCGTGATCAAGAAGATAATGTGATTATCAAGATTTACTCGTCCTAATAGATATAGGATTTAACTAATTTTAACGTATAGACATTCAATCAAAGAAACTTGTGCTGTGACCTAGTCATAAGTAAATCATATAGAAGTATAGGGGCGCTTTATGTTACTTCACATATCACGCGAGAATGAATACTCGAACTAATTATCATTAAAAAAATTTAGGTATCGCATGTCATTGTTTTAGCTATAATCCATTTGTTGATGTTAATTTCCATAAGTTTATTTCATTGAATGACGAATGATTTTTGTATGTTGTATGATTGTAATATTTCCCCCATATAACATGTGTTGGTTACTATTAATAAAGAAAATATTATTTTCATGACGCATTAAACATTATTTTCATTTATACACATTATAAACATATTGATAACAAACTTACTCAAAAACACAGTATTCAAATCAATAATTATTTTTCCTACATTTATTATATTCAATTTAAAATAAGTTTGTATATAAAATTATGCATTAGTCTCTTTTACATTTATTTTTAGATTATAAAATGCTTTTACGTAAACATACAGCAAGCTTACAACTATTTTCTATTTGGTCTTATATGCTGTTTATTCGCTTGAAGTTTTTTCCTACCTTGGTTTTGTATAAGAGAAAAAACTGCCATTATATCTTCATTCTTGGTGTCAAAATTTCACTAAGCATGTCTAACACAAATTATCTCGAGTAACCATTTAAACCATACCGAAGAATCCTGCACTAATAGGTAAGCCTGGTTTCATTAATCTATCCAAAAATACTCATCGACACGAAATCCCAGCGCATTACAAAATCCAGCATTATACACAACATCTAATTCTCGCACACGTACGTATTGTGAAGATAGCCGATGAGTTTTTCTAACAATGCCGATATCGTGTTTCAGGGGAAGCGACGCATAATGGCGATCACTCGGATGCGCATCATAGCACCTTTTCGCAAAGCAGTAAAGAGGTATACCAAGATTACGATGATAATAATTATTTTGAGTCAAATATATACTTGAAAATTTATGCATACATTGCTTTATATTATTCGATGCAAAATTTAGTCCAGCTCGTTGAAATTAATCTTTGTTTTTTTTTAAGTTGAATGAATCAAAAATTTTTAAATGAACAAGTATCAAAAGATTAAATTTAATTTAATTATTATATAATGATTTAATTTGATCGAATTCGAATGTATAAAATGCTTATGAGCTTTGATGCTGGTATGCTTGCATGAAATATCAAAATTATTCTTTAAAACGGCATGAATCAGCAAACAAAGATAAAATGACGAATTCGCATCTTTGTAAGCCTTGAATGCAATGTTTGTTGATCCAAGTCAAAATGAAAGAGAAAGCAGCGCAAAAATTGTGCATGTGCATGAAAAAAGAGGCTCATGGAATTTCTTTGCATCCTTCCATCTTAAGGGCGGCTCGATGTCCCAAGACGTCAGCGTAAGCGAGGAGTCACCCAAAAAAGAGAAGAAGAAGAAGAAGGGTTTACGAACACCGTCGTTCCTGAAAAAGAAGAAGGAGAAGAAGAAGCCAGTCGAGGCGTAGGTAGTTTACCTATAAGGTGCGTATATCATGCAAATCTTTTGAATTTTTTTAAGACGAACTCGAAAAAGGGACACGTATACACACACACGAGTCAAAGATGAGTGGTGGACAGACCGATCAATTTTGTATCAATATTCTACTTTTATAAAAATTTGCTTCATAAACACAGATTAGTTTGATTACATAGATAGAGGCTGAGTACAGAGTAGTGCAGAGTGGACCGACATTTATTGTTAAAAAAAAATCATTATAATTGATTCATCTCAGTCCGCTCTTGATAGATTTCACTTTGATATTTAACTTTTAAATACATTTATTTAGAATAGAAAAAAACATAATATGCTACATGCTGTAACTAAATCGCAGAAATATATACTATAATAGTGCGCTTATAGAAATTTTCAAAAGATAAATTTGCAGTATATATTTATCATGAATTACATTTTTCAACGAACTTATTGAAAAAAATGTCAACACGAAAATCATTTCATACAAACTCATGAATTATTATGTTCAAACTTACAGTGAAATAATTATAATACTTGAAATGAACTTGAATCGAAAATGAAGATGCTAATTACTGTATTTCTGTAATTTCAGACACTGCCATTAAGAAGGAGAGTTTATTATAAGTAAAGAAGAAAAATAATCATCAGCAGCTGGAAAGCCAAACGTTAATCTTGAAAAAATCTGAGGGAAAAAATTATACACAACTTTTCAAGGAGCCTCCCACAAATGAAACACTTACATTAAGGCGTGTGCATTGCGTGACAATTTTTATTTCCGAAACTCAAGACTGCCACACTTCACAGCCATTGCGATTTCTAAACATTTTCATCGTCTTTTTAAAATATCGCTTTGCCCTCCGTAAATAGATTATATAAAAAAAAGTGCATTGAAAGTAACTGCATTATTTGCTCCATTACAAGCATAATCGCATCAATAATGTAGTTGACTTTAAAGTTAAACACGAACTGCATGTTGTTGTAGTTTTTAGAGATGGGAAAGATCGTTTCCCTCCCGTAAGGTTCGTCGCGGCTCTTTTTTCTCTTAAAAACAAAAAAAACTAAAACGGCCTACGAGAATGGATGAAAATAAATAAGTTCCAGCAGATGCTCAGATTTGCCGTTCGGCATCTTACTATAAAAAGAAAATTCTATACATGTAATGTTGTCGATCCCGCGTGCGACGATTACTCTGCGGCCAGTTCCCACGAACGAAACGACTTTTTTTAAAATAGCAGATTATAATATATGAATTGTGAAAGAAAGAAAAAAATGAAATAACTGAAAGATATGAGAATATTTGAAACATTGACAGATATTATAAAAAGAAAATAAAAATTTTAAGAATTGCATGGGACAAAGTAAAGTTACGCTATATGTGTTATGTCGGATAAACTGCACTGTCGTAGATTGACTGTAAGTTTTATTCGGCTTATTCGACTTTTTGAATGCTTATATTATATATGCTTGCATATTGATAGTGTGAAGCGCTTTTAATGCGAATTTGATCTTCGGTAAACAAAAATAAAATGTAACTCAACGTCTACTGTCTTTGATCACTTGAGCTCTTCCTTGTCTTGTCGCGAGAGTGAAGCAGAGAATATAGAGATATTTATGATTAAAAAGAGTCCGACAGATTGATCGCAGCGAATTTTATTTTAATTATACAAGGCGAAGAGATGATGTTTGAGTGAGAGTATATAGTGAGAGAAAAACAAAGGTGGAAATGCCGAGGATATAGCGCCCTCGATAATTTTTCAATGTTCGTTTGTTAATGGTATATTTTTATTCTTTATTGTCCTGTCGATTGGCTTTTATTGATATATCAATGATATAGTAGCGTAAGAAAAGACTTGAAAATAGTCAAAAAAAGTGTGAATGAACGATGTAAACGTTTCTTTGTACAGAGAAAATAATAATGAAGTAAATGATTTTTATAGAGTATAAGTGCGCGGGTGGGAGTACTGCTCTTCCTTCTTTTGAAAAATAAACGAAGGTAGATATATATATGGGTTAATTTGCTGCGAGTGCCTTTTCGTTTTACTTTTTTAACGTGATTTATATATTGACAAATGTATTCGATTTTAATTGTTTTTTTTCCTTGTTTTATTGATGGTTCTCACCAATTGTATTATACGAAAATGAATTATGTACGGTCGTTGATAATTGTGTTTTATATGAGTCATTTACGAATAATAATTTTTGTCAATCTTTTATTTGTATAATTGCTCATGTAGAAGGCACATACTTTGTTGGTGGAAAGGCACTTGGTATGCAGTCAATTTTTTCTACATTTGCAAGCAAAAGTTGCATGAAAATAAAAACAAAAAACAAATTAACGACGTGTGTATAAAAAGATCGTAATGAAAGTTGACGTATAAAAAAAGAAAAGTAAATTAATGAATCTATGCATATTTGCGAAGAAAGATGCATAAAAAAATTAAATATGTAAAATCGTCAACACTGAAAAAAAAAGAAAGATTATATAATTGTTCGCGGAACACGAAGAGAAATGAAATAAATCCCAATTGAGGAAACTATCATATTAACGATAATGATTGTATAATTGAGCGATATGATAATTGCAGTTTTATCATTGTAATAGTTAATATATAGAAATATATTATAATAATGAAATTAATATTATATAAAATATAAGGATAAAGTACTTTATTCGACGATCCTACTCGTTATATCACTTTTCACATTTTAACTATATGAAGAATAAAAAAAACGTAATTATATCGCTTCGTGTAAAACCGAAAGATACCGAAGATTCAGCAAAAAAGAAAAATACTTGCGTAAGGAAGAAAAAAATTATTACAATAAATTGTTAGTAAAGTACTTTATTGAATAAAAATATAATGAATTTGCTTTTACTACTCGTCTCAATTTATTCTTTCGCTTTCTGCCCCCTTTTTTGAATGTTTTTGTTTTTCCTACTTGCGAACTTCATGGGCAGCACGTGGTTCTTGGGCCTCAGATTGAATACCGGCTGGAAGTCCGCGCCGAACGGCACACAGCTGTAGGGGGCGTTGTCCTTCTGGGAACTGAATCGCTCAGGATCGAATTTGATGGGGTCGGGGCTGATGTCGGGGTCGCGGTGCAACTGCGCGATCTCGACGCTGACGCGCACGCCCCGCGGGATCTCGTGGCCGTTGATCACGACGTCCTCCTTGAGCTACCGGTCGATGGTTGTGTTGCAACCACCGCAGGAACGAGGCGTAGGTCGCCACGATCCAATCGTGCAAGTTATAAAAGAAATTGAACATCTTCGCTGCTGTTCTGATCAATTACGACTGACGGACTGGACTCGAGAGAGCCTCTGTACTGTACTATTGTTTACAAAAAGAAAGGTGATGGGAAAATGTAAGTGGGATGAATATTGACAGGCAGACACACACGAGAATAGAAAAGAAACAAATAGACTTTTATTCACAAGAGGCAGGTGTAAGTTATACATAATATAATCCACGTTGTTTACAATCATCGGCCAACTTGCTATTACATGAGCGTGTATACAGTTTATTAATATTATCGAGCGTTCGTTCGCAGCATCCTTTTCTTTATTTTTCTTTACCCGTACATAATGTAATCGTCGCACGAATACCACAAAAATCGGTTTCTCGCTTCATTTTATCTCGCTCCCTTATCCTTTTCTTTCAGCGCATCGCTCGTTAAAACGTGCCTGCTTTTGTTTTCATCCTTTTTTATATTCATTTTAACAGCGATGAGTAATAATAATATCTTTATTCGGTTACAATAGCCTCTACACGGTCGGTATTGTGGAAAAAAAACAATCGTTCGATATCTTTTAGTCATCGAGTAGCGTAATAATAATAATTAATATCGAAGCGCCCCACCGTAAATTTTGCCTCTGTGTGGTTCGTCTATGTTTTTTCTTCTTTTTTTTTTGCCACTATTTTTGCAAAGCACAGAGTCTCGTTATTACGTTACTTTTTTCAATGTGATATTTATCTTCTATTTTTTAATCAACGATCAACCAAAGAAACATTCGTATACAAAATCGATCGTAAATTTTAAAAGATATGGACAGTTCGTCGTCGCTCGTTTTTTTTTGTTATTGTATATTATTCAAAGATTACACTTTGTTTTTGTATTTCAAGCATTCAACGTTTTTTGTGCAGAACAATTGTTTTTTTTTTGTTGCTATTGTTTATCAGCTTTGTTTTATACATTTTTGTATCATCATTTTTTTTCAGATAGATTACGTTTACAATTATCATGTCACATTGAATATCAGTAGTTGACTATTAATAAGCTACATTTTTAGTGTTTTCAAGGCTCATTCCCTTTTATTTTTCATCTGAGACGATTATTATATTGTATGATTTTAATGGACGCTGAAGAAAACACTTTTATCATTATTATTTTTTTTTCTTTTAAATTCTATCTATGCACTTACGAGCCTGTAGAAAATTTGTTTCCGGTGATTGAATTAACACAGGTAATGTTTTTATTTTTTACTTTTAAATAAAACGTAGATTTGTATAGAATAGTGTGTGTTTTGTTTTGTATGGTGCGTTTTTCACTGCAATTTTTGCATTTAATATATACGTCTTATCTCCATCCTTAAAATTATTCGCGCGAAAAATCACACGTGCGACCGATCAAAGACGAATGACTTTTTTTTACAAATTAAAATTTCGGTCGATCTACGTTTATTTTCAGTTTTTCGTTTCAGTTTTTCCCTCTTCGTCAGTTTATGTTTTTTATAAAAATCCTTTTTTACGCAGTTATCGTCGTATCGATCGTTTCTCAAAGGAGCTGAATTGCAAGTTTCGTATAAAATTAACATAAAAAATGTTTGTACTTACGACTTTAATGTTTTTTGTTTGCTTTTCTTTCTTTTTTTGCAATGAAAATTTTAACGATATAACATTTGTAATGACGTAATTATTATATATATAATTTTTTTAGAGCGCTTACATTAAATTTTCACTCGTCAGCCGAGCAATAATTCATATATATTTTTAATATATAATTCTCCGCAGCTATTTGAAGCAGCCATTGAAACGATAAATTATTTTATTTTATTTTTTTTTTATTCTCTCGCCCGCAAATATTGTACTCGAGGTATCCTTAAAGACATAAGCTTGCACTATTGCAAATGGGTTTGTGAGTGTGTATAGAGGAATGAAATTCTGTATAATCCGTTGCGACAAATGCACGTGGCGCATTGCATATTACATATATTTTTTTCGTATAATATTTATATTCATATAATCATCAGAAGCTCACATTGACAACGCGTATTTATAGGTTTAACACGATTTATAGTGTTGCGTGTATTATGTCGAGTAAACGTGTATGTGCTTGAATATACAAAGTGTCGGTGTGTGAGTCGATGCGTCTAAGTTTTTTTTCGCATGATCGAGTCAAGTGCAGTACGCAGAATGGTAACGTCACTTTGCCTTCTTTCTATTTTTAATGTACTACTTATCGCATCGTTTTTGAAAATTCATTCTTTTTTTTTTGCTTGCTGCTGAGAACAGTAACCAAACGAGTTCTATAATTTCGTACGCATTTTAATTTTTATATAGAAGCTTGCGGTATACACGGGGCTGTTTATTTACAAAAATCGGAGAGTAGTCGCGGAGGGAGGAAAGCACAATTGTTTCGCAGTTTTTCATTTTTACAATCGCCAAGTCAATTTTCTCTCTTTAAAGCAACTCTTTTTTATTTAGAATTTACTTATACGGACACGTGTGACTGATTTTTGCATTGAATCGCATTGAGTTTTAACTACATAGATTGAAATTCTTATCGCAAATCATTTTCTATATTATTAGCCAAACATCGTGTAACGCATTCGTTCGAGTGTAAAATCAAAAATCGCTTCATCTATCACAGGTAATTCAGGATTCGATCATTCCAGCCAGGCAGTAAACTTGAAACTATCACGTTTCTCACTCGTTTCTTTCTTTCTTGTTTTTGTTTTCTCATACACCCACACACATACGCTCGCTACTGCATAATCAATCTTATCGTATATTATACTGCACATACAAATGTTTTTTTGGTGTGACTTTGGACTTGTCGACAAAGTGTGTGCTGCAGATAGAGATAGATACATCAATAGTAGCATTACAGACTCAGAATGAAAAACTCAACTTAACGTCGTGAATCAAGCATCGTTACGTATAATAGGTACAAAGGGAATAAAACGAATAAACACATTGATTAGCACACGTAAATTACGATAATTCATTTTCTACTGCAACATTTTTTTTCTTTCTTTCCATGATCCACTCATACTTTTAATCCGCATAAAAAATAAACTCCCTTCCCTCGAAATCAGCTAACTTCCCTTTGCTATAATCCATCTATTATAATATATTTTATTACCTACAGTGCATCAATCTTTTTCATCATTATCATTACTTTTTTTTCGCTAAAAATTTTGCATCTATTCTTTTTGTCGTCGTCGTAGCGTGTTTGTTACATAGACAATAATATAATTATAATATAATATTTTTATATATCTCACATTAATGCGCGCGCTCGCTTGGGTGTACACGTCAAAGATTCGTCTAAATTATGTACAGAAATATTTTCTCTCACTTTTGTCGCCTTTGCGTACAAGCCTTTTTTGTTTGTTTTTTTTTTATTTTTTTCTCTTTCGATTACCACAAATATCTATCGCGAATCCTCGCGAGGAGTAAAAACGCACACACGCTCTCTTTTTCACGCTCACTCGTTCGAGGATTTTTAATTCACCCGAAAAAAAACGCAATTGTAACATTTTCCTATTTTTTTCATTAACACTTAAAGTCTAGCTTTTTAAAATTCACTCGCTCCACTGTAAAAAGTCAGGGAGGAGACACGCGCACACGGATCGAGAGGCAGAGCACGGCCAACAGAGAGACAGCAGTGTATATCCCTATACAGCAGTTTACATAATTGAATGCGTCTAGAAAAAAAATAAAAAAACAGAAGGACTTAGATCTTTGAAAATTGTCTCTTGCTCCGTTTCTCTCTCTCTCTCTCTCTCTTTCTCTCCCTCTGTGCCGTGTCTCCACTTCACATTATAATATATCGCACGGATGCTAGCAGCAAAAAGACCAGTTTGGTATATGTATATTGTAACTGCGTGTCTCCGTGTCCGTCTGTAAAAGTGTGTGTATGTGTTGTCGTCTTCTCTCTTGCGAAATGCAAAACGTGCACGTCGTAACTATTTTCCTTTTTTTTTCTTCTTATTTTCTCTCTCTCTCTCTCTCTTTTATTTTATTTATTCTTTTTCCTAAGAACGACTGCTCTCCCAGCGGGCCGCCACGAGTTGCAGGCGCCTCGTCGTCGTGTCGAGGGTGGGCGAGAGTAGCGATTTCAGCGAGGCACTCGGTGGTGACGCTGCTCCGCCTTCTCCTCCTCCACCGATGTATTTTACGGTCATGGGTGACTGCAAATGCCTGTGGCGTATGACCTCGCGCTCGGCAGTTACCAGCGGCCAAAGTTCCTGCGTGAATAATGCACGAAAATTAGTCGCGTTTCACTCGACAGCGTGACAATCGTATTTTTTCTTTTTGTTAAGATTCATAAAGAAAAAGTAATTCATTTATCATTGAACTTGAAATTCGACCGAGCTCCTATTGCTACTTATGAATGTTATACTTGCTGATAAATGCGTTTATGACGTATGATTCATAAAATGAAAAATAACAAAAGCTCGAAGATACCCGCGCTCGCATGATATTTTATTTAAAAGTGAAAAGAAAAAAAAACCAAATGGACGATTTTTTCGATGGCGTGGATGTGATGTGTGTGTCTAACCTATCGTAAGCTCGCAACGATCCGTCTGCCAGTTCTCATGGATGGCGCGGTCTCGACGCCGTGGTTCATCATCATGGACAACGAGGAGGAGCGCCGCTGGATCAAGCGCTCCGCCGCGCAGGCGAAAGAAGTAGCACAAGTAGTAGCAGCAGCAGCAGCAGTAGTGGTAGAAGTAGCAGTGGTAGCGGTGGTAGCGGTAGAAGAAGAAGAAGCGGCACGAGCGGCGGCGGCGGCGACGCAGCTCTTTAAAGTCATCAAAGCTTGCTTTGTTCTACACACCTGCAGCGTTAGAGCTTCGTCTCAGGACTCGTTGCTCGCCGACAGCTTCTCGTTCGTCGTCGTCGTAGTCGTGGTCGTGCTGTTGCTGTTTTTACGCCCGGTCAGATTGCCGACGAGCGACTTGAGGGTGGCCAGGCTCAAGCCGCGCGCCGTCTGGGGCGTGCTGCCGGCGCTCGCGCTCTGACTGCGAAAGCCCGCCGGGTGGGCGTCCAGGCATTTCTGGTACCTCAGCTGGTCGAGGCAACACGGCGTTAGAGAGAGAGATTTTTTAAACTTTAATATATGATAACTTTTATAAAGTGTACCTTGCAAGCAGCCTCGATCGTTTTGCAGAGGCTGCCGCTGCTCGGCTCGCAGTTGAACACGTGCGCGATGAACAGATCCTGGGCCGTGTGCATGATGAAGGCGCACTGCTTGGCGTTCTGGCCGATGCCCAGAAACGACAGGTATCTCACTCGGCACTCGGCTATGAGCTTGTCGCCGCCGCTGCCGCTGCCGTCGCTCGCCGCCGCCGGCGCCAGTATGGATATCATGCTCGGCGCCACGGCGACGTTGACGTCGCGCCACTGCGACTGGGGCTGGCTCTGGACCAGCTGGTCGATGGCGTCGTTGAGCACGTCCATGCCCGTCGCCTGGGCCACCTGCATCGAGCCGAGATACTGGGCGCGCAGGATCTTCTTCGGCTCCTCCATGGGCGTCGGGAAGGATTGCACTGCGTAGGCGCGCGGCAGAGAGAGAAAAATTGTCGAGAGTCAGTGATTGTATGCGGAATGAAACGATCCCTTGGTGGAAATGCTCAAATAAATGTTTTTTGGACGTAAGAGGGTCAAGACATTTTATTGTCATGGAACTGTCCAAGTTTTTTCTATTCAATAACTATTTTTGAACTTTGCCCAGAATATGATCGTGAAACCTCAGTAAACTCGTGCTTTGACTTATAAGAATATTTTTACTTCGTCACTTGCAGATTTACAGATATAAAGGTACTCGCCATCTAGTGGCGGAGATTCGAATCATTTTTCGTTCGTCAGGCCACGATCATTAATCAGCATTTCTACCAGGGGAGCATAGCACAATATGTATTACCAAGTGGCGCCGGTCCGTTGCGATGATGGAAGCGCCTGTGCTCGGTGGGCAGATTCGTGGGCCTCGCCGCCAGACCGGCGCGGCCGTGCACGTCCACGGGCCTGGCCAGATTCTGATGGAGCGAGCGCTCGATCATGATCTTCTTGCAGATGTCGCGCAGCGTGTTGGCTATCGTGCGCGCCGGTATGTCGCAGCGGAACACGTGGCACATGTGCTTGCGCGTCGTGCGGTCGCGCGCCACGTAAGCGAAGTCCCTATATTCAAAAAAAGGGAAGGAAAATTGGATTAATGTTTTATCTTTGTAGAAAAATTAGATTCATTTTTCGTTCGAAGATGATACACTCGAATGAATTATATTATAGATACGACGCAGGGTTTAGCTCAAATTACCTTTCGCTGTGGATGTTCATGTGTGTTTGTGTGTGATGCGGTGGAATGAACGAGAGAGAGATAGAGAGAGATTCACACAGCAGCCATTCGGTGAGATCGAGATAAAAGCGGAGGCGAGGCGAGAGATGAAAAGAAAGGATTATACATCGATTAATATAGAAGTGACTCGAGTGAACTCATTTTCCATACCATATGATATTCGCAAAAGTGACAATTAAAAAAAAGAAGAGTATCCATTAGGCCATTGTTCGAGAGAGATCTGGCTAATAATTTCGTTAAATTAAAGGCCCAGACGACCGACCGGACGCGCTTATTTATATCAATGGCACTCTTCGTTTTATTAAATGGCTTATTAAATTAAACGTGCGCATTAAATTAATAGAAGCTCGATCATAAATTTACCGTCCGTGATCTCGTCCGACGCCCCAGACGCGCAGCGTGTGAATCGGCTGCGTGTTCAGCACCGTCAGATTCTCCGGATCGATGAGCTTCAGCGCGCCCTCGTCCAAGTCCATGAACAAGTCCTTACCCTGCGCAACGTGCGTAACGTTTGATATTGTTATTATTATTATTATTATTATTATTATTTTTTGTAAAAAGAAGAAGATGAGATAACTCACGTCGCCCCATCGTCCCACGACGTCGAGCAGATCGTTCCTGCCCAGCGACAGATCGACGATGCACTTGTTGACGGCCTTGCTGCTGCGCTCCGGGGTGAGGTCCTCCTCGGCGATCTCCGTCCAGCCGAGCGAGCGCACCGCGAATCTGATCGGCTTGTTTCTGTCCTCGGAGTCGGCGCGCGCCGGATAGCTTCTTCGTCTGAAAACGCGAGATGCGTAAAACGACGAGGTTTATTTTCGAATTTTATACGAAGATATATAGTGAAAGAGGAAAAAGTGGAAAGGTATAAGGGATGCATCAAGGAGAGGCGAGAGAAATACATTATACGTGTGTGCGATATAAAAACGTCGTTGAATAATGCACTCACTTTAGGGCGAGCTCCTCCTTGCGCTTGTTCTCGAGCTCCTGGTCCAGAGCCGAGCTCGTGTTGCTGCGCGTCACCGTGCCAAAGTGGCTCCCAGACAGCGCGTTAAAGTTGCATATCTGCGCGAACGAGAGATTGTTATTCATTTTTTTTTACCTTTTCTTTCTCCGACAATTTATTCTTCGGGTCATAAATTCCAGATTACGCGTTCAAGTACTGTTACACTTACGCTGTCGGAATCCTTGATGAAGCTTCGGCGCACCTCGATCTTCGAGAAGTGCACGTCCGGCGCCTCGCGCTGAATCGTGCCGCTCTTGATGTGCCAATAGTACGGGCCCTCTTTGTCTGCATCGAACGATACGTTGTTTTTTTTTTTTTTTTGTACACTCCTCCGCGTTTAATTTTATTTTCTCTATACTCACCCTCGTGCTTCTCCCATCCCAGGGGCAGATTCACCTCCTTGTTCTCCGAGTCGGCGTTGTTGCCCTCGTCGTTCTCCTTGTCCAGCTGCTTGTCGTTGTTCTGGCGCTGGCTTATCTGCAGCTTGTCTTTGGGGTGTCGCCGCTTCACCGGCACGCCCGCGTAAATGTCGTTGTTGACGCCTTCCACGTGCGGCATACCGCCCATGTCTGTCGTCGCGATTATGCTGTCGGCCTTCTCGCAGTAACTGCAACGAGACAAGGGGTTTAATTTAATTTTGGATAGCAGCTCCTATGTATAGGGGTAGTAAATAGCTAGCTGACAAAGATAAAAAAAAAAAGAAGAAACTATAGTACGCTTTTAAAATTCACACAGCGCGACACTCGCACACAAGTATTACACCTATATGTACGAGGCTTTTTTTGCCTCGAAACTTTATTAATATCGTTGTACGTTCGAAGTGCCCAGCGCGAGTTTCGACACGAAAGAATCGAGTTAATGTCATGTACCGCGAGGGACGGCGTATATAAAGTACGCGCGTTAAATTTCCAGTAGTCAAGTTCAACCTCTGGTCCGACACATTCACTCCTCGGTATACCTGCATTTATATACGTAGTATATATAATAACAAGGACTACGCCGAATGGTAATATCGCAAGAATTACATCGAAAGCTCGATAAAATAGAAATAAACATGAAATACACGAGTATATAATGTACGACGTATATAGCGCGTATATTAATTACACGTCATTGAAATCTCAGCTTCCCCCTACACGCCAGTCATTGTAATGTAAACGAATCGACGAATTTATACGTATACACGAGTGTGTGTGTGTTTGTGAGATCTGTGCGAGCTTTCGCGAGCTTTACATTATACATATTGCCACGCGTCGTCGCGCTGATTCGAAAACGAGTCTGTATAGAAATTTTGTCCGTGATTCTCGTTCGCTGATTGCACAATGTGTGTGTGTGTGTATGAATAGCGAAAACGACGCGCAGTCGAGTCAACATACGGATCGAGGCCGTCTCATCCGTGTGCGCCCTGCAGCTCGATCTGCGCGTATTATACATACACACTAGATTATCTCTTACGGTCGAAAGGGCGCAGAGTCAACAGAGTGGAGTCGCCGATCGAGTTTTGTTTATGCCCGTCTTCGTTGCGTTTGCCTTCGATTAATTCGGAGCGTGAATCGCCAAATTTATTCATCGCCACGAGTAAATCTACCCTCCTTACTTTATTATATATTTATTACCAGTATACAAAGCAACAAAGAAGCGCAACGAAATTACGATACGGCACATGTAAGTATCGACGAAGATAGCAAACAAAGAGAAAAAAAATAACAACAAAAAAAGCTCAAATGATCGATTTTTAATGATGATGACGATGATGATGATGATGATGGAAAACTCATGCGTACTTAGTGTCGCGAGAAGCGGCTTCCTGAACTCGCTTGGATCCTGAGGAGGAGGACGACGACGAGGACGAGTTACTACTAAGACTGCTCCGAGGATTCCCGTTGAGGGTATCGTCGCTCAAGCTCGACTCGGCGAAGCTTTTGGCCCGATCGGCTCTGGCGTACCTGCGTATCATTCATATGTATCCACGCGATATTTATTTGTATGGAAATTGAAACCAAAAAAATTATTAAAAAAAAAAAGCAGTATAGTCTGTAGTCGGCAGTCTTGTCGTAAAAAAAGTAACCGTGAGTATATCGTCCTCGGGATTCAAGCACACACACGCGTATACTAGTTAAATCGCTTACGTTTACCGAGGCGACCGGCACGATATCGTATACAGCCGCTGGGGGCGGAGGAAGAGTCGCTCGAGGTGCGATCTATGTAATACGATGTAACGCGCGAACTTCGAGAGTTGACAAGTTCGCGCGCGCCCGGCTGCTTTATATATAAATGTGATTAAGGGATTAGGGTGGCGGGCCTTCGAGACACGCCGTCCTGGGCGCTTGCTAAACTCGATCCGTGCACTGTATACAGTGTGTGTAGCTTGTACAAACTGTCGCACCTCGACAAGCACTGAGATCTTCGCTTACATAATATATAGAACGTGTAATCGATACCTTGCATTGTAACGAAGCAGAAATGACTCGCGTTGACCTCTACGTTTTAATATTATGCGAGCGTGAAAAAAAAAATTTCGCATAAAGCTATTTTCGATTTGATAGCGTTATCTGAAAGTACTCAAGCACGTATAAATATCGGTAGAGAGATAGATGCGATTGGATTTCTTTTTTTTTCATACAACGAACGTCGCGTACTTGTTGCATTAGAATTTATTAATATTCAACAGGTTCGAATGCGTATACGTATACACGCACGCGCGTGTCTATAAATGCATAGATGTTTTCGCGCGACGTTGTATGGAAATGGACCAACAGGTGTAATATATGCTGGCAGGCCCCGCGCGCGCGCGACGATGTATCGCTTGTACACAATATGCGTAAACCGACTAGCCGGTTACACCGACGTTAATTATGCCGAGCGTAGCCAAGTCGTATTACCTGATGTTTAAACGGAAATTTAGAATGTAAAAAAGTGCTCGAAAACCCATATGGGTTTTAGCATATGCTTGCGCTTGATAATAAATCTGTATACGACGAGAACAAATAGTAGTAGCGTTGAAATTGAAAATTCATTGAAATTTTTATGAAAACTTGTTTAGACTTATACAACTAATTTTACATTGCCACTTGCGGATTTACAAATAAAGGTACTCGCCATCTAGTGGAGGAGATTTGAAGTGGTATTGTTGTATAAAGTGGTTGAAAATTCGTCTACACAATTTGAAATAGATAATTCAACATTTTCAGATCCTTTGAAATTCGCTTCATATAATCGCAACAGAGAATTCCCTAAAATCAAGGTAACTAACTTTAGGTAATGCGTTATGAAATAATTTTTTTGGACGATACATATCATGGATACGCATTCAACTATGCTACAAAATTTCTTCTTTGTCGACATTGACGACTTAAATCAGTCAAATTTCAGTGATAGTTCAAGAATAAAATTAATTATAATTTAGAAAACTTGGGCTGTGATGTATTATATGTTAGTATAAGAACAATTATAACTTTGTTTTGTGTATAGCTAATGCTCCAAGAGCTCTTCGAAGTCTTTTTGTTATACAAACAAAATAAATAAAAAAATTTCATTTGTTAACTTACTTTGATTTAGATTTTTCTTTGTTTGAATTGCCTACTAAGAATGTTTTAATACTCAAAGCAGGTTTTGGTAAATTAATCATAAAAAATAATGTAATCTAGTTCAATTAAAAAAATTATTTTAAATGACAATCTAAATTCGAAATGTAGAAAATTAAATTGAAGTGGAAGTAGTTTTTTCCTTCGCGTATATAAATCTACTTTCGCATAAAAGAATTTAAATGAATGTGATTTTGAAGCAAGTTCGAAAATTTCACGTTCTTTCAAAACGAATCATAAAAAAATCATTAAATTTAATTCAAATTCGATGCTTCTAAATGATGATTTAGTTAAGTTTAGTTTAGTAGATTGGTGTAGTTCAACGTTCTACCGCTAGATGTTTTTAATTATGCTAAAGGAAAACCAAAAGTGGTTGAATGAACAGATGCGTATTATAGTGAGTAGGTTGTATTACTTGTCAGCAATGTAACGGTGGATTTGTTGCAAAATGATTCGTTCATATTCAATTTGATGTTTTTTGATCTTTCAAGCAAAATTTCTCCTCGTACACTTGAACAAGGTGCGACAAATCACGTTTCACGTTTCCTACATAATGCTATCTGCCTCTTTTTTTTTGTTAAAACAAACGAAGCTTTATATCCGATAATCGTGATCAGTCAATCGATTACAAAAGTTTAGTCACGTATCGTATTGAATCGCTTTTACACACACGGACACGACTGTTCTTCTTTTCGGGAGGACTTTTAATTGCACCCGAGCTTTTATTTCATTGTGTTAAACATTATTAAACTCACCGAAGCTTCGTTCTTTAGCTCTTCGCTGTTCGATCGAAATTGCGGAAGTGAAAAGGCCCGAAGACAAATTGTTTTTTAAGTACCCTGCCCTGTATAATGGGCTATAAGAGAGAGAGGGAGAGAGGTTTAAACTATATAACGACTCGGGGGACACACAATTTTGAGACAAGTTTAATCCTGGGCGCAAGCTCGAGAGCTAATTATTAGGTGCGAGCCCGTGAAAACGTCGTCGATCCGAGTAAGTGACTTTCTTGTCCTATACATACTTAATGGTGTAATTATTGTTTCTTCATAATGTCTCAGATATTGTTCAAAAGAAACGCATCGGTTATTTTTATAGCGTCAAAGCAACTAAAGGATTTTCCCGCGCAAATTAGATAAGAATCTTCCTCGACTCATCGATTTCGCATTCGCGCAGCCGAGCGCCCGCATATTCGATTCACTAAATGGCTCTCATAATTCACTCGTCGAATCGTGCAAATGCACCCATCCAATAACAATTTGCATCCGATCTAATTATCATTGGTCTTATCGCGTATACGTATATTATAAAATAAATAGCCTTGCAAACGTGGCGCCTCCCATGCATTACATATTATTCACAGCCTCGTGCCGCGTGTGTACATTCTATACACACACAGTTTTGCGCGCAATAACCTAATGGCTCGCGCGATCTTTATTGCCTCGAAATATCGAGATGGGGCGCAAAAAAAGGTATAAGAGCTCTGCCGAACGATCGCTCATATACGCGGGAAGTTGCCTGGAAACGAGATATCGTCTTGCTACAGGAACAATTATGACTTTTTCGCTTTGCTCTGCTCTGCTACGGAGGATAGAAAAAAAAAAGCGCGTGATTAACTCTCGGTACGACGGGCGTGAGTCGATGCACGAAAAACGCGAAAACCGAGAGAAACGAAGAGAGACGCACAGAAACAAAATAAAAATGGAACGAAGCGTACATATACGAATCGAAGATTCAGTTCCGATGCATCGCATGTGCGAGCAGTGAAATATAACTCTATAACGTGTGTATGTAAAAACTCGAAGGTGTGTGTGTGTGTGTAAGCTCGCGCATGCAGTACACAGTGCAGCAGCAGTAACAGCAGCAGCAGTAGTACAGCACGAGCAGGAGAGAAAGTTGGCAGCTGATCGATATACAACGGAGCGCGCGCAGTACTCGCCTCTCGCTTCTCTCTCTCTCTCTCTCTCTCGCTCTTATTCTCTCTTTCTCTCGATGCGCGAGCTCGAGTCCACACCATGTATATATA